AAGAAGAAGAAGAAGAAGAAGAAGAAGAAGAAGAAGAAGAAGAAGAAGAAGAAGAAGAAGAAGAAGAAGGAGACGATTGAGTTTATATTTTTTTCCTGTTCAAGTTCAAATGGTTTAATGCTCATACAGGCTTTACCTGGGTTTGTATCGTTTTTTTCTTGCTAGCATTGTGTTGTCATTGTATAAGTTCTAAGATATAGTACTGTTTTAATTTCCTAATATATATGTATGTACTGTATGTATGTATGTATGTATGAATGACAAAATATGCTACTGAGCCAAGGAAGCTTGAAACATTTCCATTGTTTCATTGTTGTCGTTTTCTTCCTCAGTGAAGTGTGATGGTATAGTCAATATCCTTAACATTATTTAGTCAATTTATTAATTAATTAGTTGACTATTAATTAATTAAAATTTTTAATTTCAAATAATGACAAAGCAAAAGTAGCAACCTGATTACTGACAGTTGGAAACATATCTGCAAGATAATGTAACCATTTCAGGTCTGAGTCCTTGAATTCATCTTACCATCAATAATTTGTCAGTAGTCTCATTGTAAATGGGGTAGTGGAAGACATAATGAATAATGTCCTCCACTCAACCAGCATGACAAGAGACAGAGACACTATTCAATGGCATTTACAAAATCTACCTTCAAGATATGCTGGAGACATGCTCTCAAGCAAAGACCTGTAAAAGCATTTCTCAGTGGGTCACTGGTAATATTAATAAGATACTGGAAGAGGCATTTATTTATTTATTTATAATGATGAAACCAAGATGAAAATGTAGATGTCTATAGTGTAGTAGCATCTTTATGGCACCCTTTTCAAAAGCCTCTCCCCTTAGTCATGCATATAAAGATAGTAAGTTAAGCATATCTGTGCCTAAGGGGGGTAATGTTTTAAGTGCACTTTTATTGACTGAGTAAGAAAGCTGTAACTTTTATGAGTGCCACAAAACAGCAGTGGTCTTCTGTCCATGGGATTTACTGCCTAACAAGCCGCTCTGGGCAGTGTTCAACGAGGCTAAAAACAATCAATAAACACATTAAAGAGAAAAAACCAACTAAAACAAGCAAAAATAACAGACTAAGGGATGTTAAAATCTTGTATATCCAGGGCAAATCTAGTCTGTATTTCTGACTACTTATCTAAACGTATTAAAAAACAATGTGTTTTTGGAATACATTTTTCCACTCAACACATTCTGAGAGTTGGTGATATACACCCAAATAAAACCGAGAGGACATTACCTCCACTGAAACAGAGTGATAAAAGCATATAACCTCAAACCCTGAATTAAAAGAAAGTATTGATTTGATCCAATGTATAAAACTCTTCTCCTATTCTCACATCATTGATGAATATAATGCTGTAAGAGATCATGATCATATAACTAGACTCACCTCTTTTTCATCTCTTAAATATGAAACAAGTCCAAAAAAATGAATATATCTCCAGTGTTGCTGATTTCTTCTGTGAATGTTTAGAGAATCTAAAAGAACCCTATATTATAAAATACTTTGAGAAGATTTTTTTTTTTAAATGTAAATCTGTTCCCATACTCTGAAAATCTCAGATTACATTTCACTATTAATTCAAGTTTTCAGGAAAGTATGGTTGCAAACCGATATCCAATTCTTACCAGACCCAGGTTTGAATTTTACTTAATTTCTATGTAGATACAGCTACAGTTACTTGTTCCGTGTAAGGTGTTTAAGTTATTTTTCAGTAATAGCTTTATTATGCCTTTCTCAGGAGCAACTAAGTAAAACTAATTGATTTTTTTCTCTCCTTTTGAAATGTGCTACCATATATACCAAAAGGAGTCTCTCAACATCTTAGTCCCCAAACACCATGCAACATTAGAGAATAAAATGAATAAACAGAGCTAGAATGATTAAAATACATCTTCTAAATCAAAGATGCATTCGTTGTTTGAATGCCAGTGACACATTCTTAACAAGGAGATGCAGCAAAGGCAAAGGTGTGGGTGGTACCAAAAAAAAAAAGTAATTAAATTAATTAATTAATTAATTGTCAAATTTATATGGTCACCCATCTCACAAACAAGTGGCTCTGGGTGGCGTCCAACAAGGCTAAAAACAATTAGTATAAAAAAAGAATTACTATTATTATTTAAAAAAAACTTAAAAAAAACCAAAAGGGTAAACCAAACAAAACATTAGGCGAAGAACACATGTTAATAACAATCAAGCCACCTCAATTTCTCACCAGTCCCCTGGGGTCCTCAGGCCTGATTGCACAACCAGGGTTTGAGGGACTTCTGGAAAATCTACAGGGATGGGCCAGCCTCACTTTGGGGGGGGGGGAATGTTCCATAAAGTGGGCACGAGGGCAGAAATGGCCTGCCATCTAGGACCTGCCAAATGTAGCTCCCTAGGTTGATGACACTTGTAACATGCCCTCTCTACTGGATCTGGTGGGATGAGGTGGTCTCTCAGATAACCCAGCCCCATGCCAGGTAGGGTTTTAAAGGTCAAAACCACCTTGAATTGGACCTGAAAACAGACTGATAACCAATGTAGCTTGCGGAGTAAAGGTGTAACGTGTGTTGTTCTAGAAACACACATAACTGCCCATGACACTGTAATTTGCACCAGCTGAAGTTTCTGGATATTCTTCAAGAGCAGCCCCATGTAGAGTGCATTACAAAAGTCCAACCAGGAGGTGACTAGGTCATGAGTGACTGTGAGTAGAGCCCCTTGATCTAGGAATGGGTGCAACTGGTGCACAATACATAGTTCTGCAAAGTCCTAGCCACAATTGCCACCTGTTCTTCAAGCAGGAGTCATGAGTTTAAGAAGACCCCCAGACTGCACATGGGGTCTGTTTGGGGCAGTGCAACCCCATCCAGCACCAAAGATGGCATAATCCTAGAATCAGTGGGCCCCAAAACCCAAAGCCACTTAGTTTTGCCAGGGTTCAGTTGAAGTTGTTGTTCCCCATCCATTTCCTCATAGTCTCCATGCATGAGGATAAGACATACACAGAACCATTAAATTCACTGGGGCAGAGATGTATAATTAGGTATTATCAGTGTACTGATGATACTTCGCCCTATGGTGATGGATGAGCTCACCCCATGGCCTCATATAGAAGCTAAATAGCAGCAGATAGAGGACCAACCCCTGTGGCTCCCCACACAGTAGGGGCTGAAGGCAGGATCTCTCCTCACAATCACCACTGACTAGAATTGACCATGGAGAAAGGAGGCAAACCAGCACAGCACCATGGTGCCCACGCCCAATCCTCTTAGTCGATCCAGAAGGATACCATGGTGGATGGC